GGAAAAAAGTGTGGAGTGGGGTATGAAAAAATTATGCAAAAACATTAGAGAACTGCTAGTTTAATAGGAGAAACAGATGCAAAAGGATATTTTTTTACTTTCTCTCTAATAGGAAATTCCTGATTTTGTTGATATTGTACCTAAATAGTACAGATTTTTTTTGTTTTTTTTTCTGGTACCGGGAATCGAACTCACGAGCTTGCGCTTGCCAGGCAGGCGCTGTGCCGCTGAACTAAATCCCCAGCCCCTAGGACAGATTTTAGAAATCCAGTTATGTTTCCTATCATTTGAAGGGCCCCTTCGAGGCAAAAAGCATAGAATATTCCCATTTAATAGGAGCAGTAAAAGCAGGTCAAAGGAGAAATGAGTTTGGGTCTTCTAGATTCTGTCATTTTTGTTCTGTTGACACCTGTGGGTGAAATAGTTGAATATTCAAGAATTTGCCATATGAAATAAAGGCTTAAGAGTTTTATAGATATTTTAAAAATAGCTGATGCATTCAGAAAACCACCTGTGGGAAGTAGTGGTATAGTAAAGGTGAATTGAATGGGGGGAATTTGTCTTTTCTAGAAATTTTCATTATAGTCTGATTGGGCAGAAGGAAGATTAAGATGCATGATTAAACTGTGTGCTTTGATTTGAGCCCATAAGAGCCATTCAGTACTTGCTTGTCAAATTGCATAGTCATTTGTAGAGATTAAATTGTGAGGTTTTAACTTGTTATATCAGTTTTATAGAATTTCTCAAGCATTTATTAACAACATGCCCATTAAAATGGTCTCTATATTTGCAATTTATATGACCACATTAAAGCGTCTTTTAAAATGTGAAGGAAGGGAAGTAAATTTTCTGAACGATGAAACGTATCACTCTTTAGTATGTATATAAGACCAAGCTGCTCTCTTACAATACAGACTAACAAACATACACACTAAAATTTTCCTAGACAGAATGTGAGTCATGGGAATCATGTAAAGCCGGTGGTGGCAATGGAAGAGAGCATGTCAGCCTTCTCTCTTCATTAGATCATTTCTCTTACATGATGAGTAACTACAGTCTATGAAGCTGATGTAACTGGTAAACTCCTGACCTGAGTGAAGAACTTAGTGAAGAACTTAAATTTTTTCCATAGACTGTTGAGTGTCTTAGTGTTGATTTAGCCCTGTAAGACTTTGAAACCTAAAAGATGAACCATGACATTTTTGGAAGTTTGAAATTAAAACTAAGTTTGATGTGTTACTCTGCGCCCCCTCCCAAAAACCCCTTGAGTCTAGGGCCATTCGTTAAAAATGCAAGTAAGTATTAAGAATTATTAGGGCTGGGGATTTAGCTCAGCGGCAAAGCGCCTACCTGGCAAGCGCAAGGTCGTGAGTTCGGTTCCTGGTACCGGAGAAAAAACCAAAAAAAAAAAAAAACCAAAAAAGAAAAGAATTATTTACAAAATGCGTATTAAAACACAAATCAAATGATTCTTATTCCCTAGTTTATTCTGATGTGTACAAATTTTATGAGCAGTATAATAAAAATCCGATATAGGGAAGGGCCTGTGGTTGCTGTTGGAATTTGCTCTTTGAGATCATGAAATGTTGCTAGCATTGGGTTGACACAGACTTGTGAATTTTTCAGTGTGTGAATGCTATGTGTGCAACTCACGGACAGTATAACCCAACCCATTTGTGCCTTTTTGCTCCCAGTCAACAAGCACGACTCAGCAAGGATGGTAGCAATTCTGCGCAGTATGAGACACAGACCAGGTGATATTTAAGGTTCCTTCTTGTGCTGAGATGCCCTAACTTTGAATTCTAGAAGAATACCACATGCGTTTAATCATCTACCTCAACCCTTAATTGAGAAAGTTCCACGTAAGAAAATTTATCCTTGCACACATAAGCACTCCTAAGCCAGGCTTGGTGGTGCACATTTGTAAAGCCAATTCTTTGGGAGGCTGAGGAAGGAGGATTACAAGGTCCAGCCTAGCCCGGACAATTTAGTAACTTAGTGAGACCCTGTCTTAAAATAAAAACTATAAAAAGGATGGGGATATAGCTCTATGCGAAGGCCCTGGGTTCATTCTGCAGTAACACACACACACGCACACACACACACGCGCGCGCATGCGTGAATCATACCTAGGAATACAACAACAATTTTTAAAAATATACTTCATTGGAAAAACTTCTCCGCATCCTGAATGCTTCACTCTCCACAGCCTCTTAGTTGCTGGTAATTGCTAGTGAGACATGAAGTGGGGAAAATACCATTAGCCAAAGCAGTTTGTTCTTCAACCTGAAGATATAGCAAAATCACGGGTGGCCAGACCCCCGTCAGGGATTCTGGTGCAGTACATCTGGATGGGCCCCAAAACTTGCATTTCTAACAAGTGGCTAGCTGCTGCTGAGACAATGCTGGTCCTTGAGCTGCACTTTGAGAACTACTCAGAGCATCTGGGAGAGAACGAAAGCATTTCCCACGTAGCTTATTTCTCATGTGGTTGTCTCATATGGTTCCTGTGATAGTTGGAGTTGTTCACTGGACTGGATTGAGGGATGCCTAGAGAATTGGCAAAGCATGCTTTTGTGTGTGTTATGGCTTGTGTCTAGATGTCCCCCCAAAGACTCATGCAGTCATAAGTGGGGCTTTTTTTCAGAGGTGGCTGGATCTAGGGTGGGTGGTTGATTCATAGTGCAATTCTAGGATTAAATGTGGCTGATTGCTGGATCAGTCCATTGATTGGTTTGGCACTGCCCTAATTCTTGTAGCCTGGATACAATATAAGGGACAGAAAGAGGCTTGTCTTGTCCTTTGTTGCTTTGCTACCTTCTGCCTGCATAAACTGTTTCTCTTCTGCGATAGAGCCATCTGATTATGGACTGGAACCTCTACAAACTTTGAGCTAAATAAACCTTTCCTTCTTTAACTTTGGGTGTCAGGTATTTTGTCTCAGCCATGAGAAAAGTAACTAAGACAGGGTGTGTCTGAAGGTGTTTCCAGTGAGCTGAGTGGGGAAAACTGTCCTGAATGGTAGCAGCACCATCCAACAGGCTGGGGCCTGGATGGACCAGAAACATGGGAGAAGAGGGAGCTAGCTTTTGCCGATAATCATGCTTAACCTTTCTGGAACTGGTACAATCTCTTGTGCCTTTACCTGTGGTCACCAGAATCTAGTTCTTTATCCTTTGAATGCAGACTTGCACTGGGAGCTCTCCAGAAGACTTTGAGGTCTGGGGCTCAGACTGAGGCTGCATCTTTGGCCTCTCTCCCATTCTGAGGCTTCTGGCTATTTGAAGTGAGCATCTGCTAGACTCCCTGGCCCTCCACCTACAGTGGGCCATTGTGAGCCTTGTTCGCCTCTGAGATCATGGGACCTAATCTGAGAAATGCGCTCATGTATATTCTATTGGTTCTTTGTCCACTTTCTGCCCTCTCATTCAAGGGAGAGAACTTTGGTGAAAACACCTGAGGATGAGTTGACCTGCCTGCTGGTGTATTCTTCAGAGGGAGTTGATTTCCCTTTTTGTAAAGAAACTCCGGGAAATAAAATATCAGCAGTCATATAAAGAAAAAAAAAACTAGATAAAAGGGAAAGGAGAGAGGCCAAATGAAAACAGTACACACAGTTTGAAAATCTAGAACCAGAGAGGACTATGGACTTTAGCCACACGTCACAAGGAAGCATATAGTGATCTGTTAGAATTTGGAGGGAAACCAGTACAAACTCTCCTGGCGTGTAAGGAAAGCCTACACATCCATCTCCCTCCAGAAAGCTTTAGTTTACTCCATCCTGGTTTTTGGGAAATGATTTGGACTTAATTGTCAGCCTCTGATTTCTCTACCTAGCATGGAAAGAAACATTTTTGAGGCACGATTTTGTTCTGATAAGCCCACCAATGTTCTGCCTTTGAAGTAGGTATATTTTCTTTCTGTTCGGTGTTCACTTAGGAGCAGTTTCTTATTTGATGTGGCCCTTGTGTTATGCTCTGGTATTTATTACATTTCTTGCTTATAAACTTGATATCATGAGGTGTTTATTTTTATACCAGGCAAGAGATGCTTGAAGAATGATTAATGTTAGTCCTTCTTTTCGTTGAACTTCTTGTGAAAAAGCTTCAGGAAAAAACATTTGCCATTTATACTTAAGAGATTAAAATATTCAACACTTAAGCCATTGCTACGAGATGGACAAAATATAGTTCTGAAATCACCACATATTGCCATTTGTATTTTGCAGTTATTTTTTGATGCCATCTTACAAATATAATAATACTGCAGTATAGTTGAGTTCATGATACGGTCATTTTCTTTCTCCCTCTCTGTCTTAGAAAGAACATTGAAAAGACACTTGTGATGCTACTCTCTGAATCCTTTAGGAACCCAAGTTTAACTTGGATGCTTCCAACTGATACCAAGATCACAGAAAAACACCCAAGAATTTATTTTCCCAAAACGTATGTGCTTGCTTTTCCAAGCATGCCATGTAGATAAGTATGGAGGAGAAAAGAAAAAAAAAGACTCATGCCCAAGTCAAACAACTATTGAGCATACCTGCTCTGGTCTTAGGTTATAACTAGGCAGCATGATTCATTGGGATTTAGATGCTTGGAGTGAAGTGTTCTGGAAAACATATTTTAGACATCATGTGCTTATTTTTATGCAGGTTTTGAGAAAAGAAAGGGAGAGAGAGAACAGGAATGACAGAGAATGAATGAAAGAAAATGAATGAATGTGTATGTGTGTTGTACTACCTCCTGAGAAGCTGTTGGTGGAAGTTTCATTTTTTCCCCTCTTAGATATAGACCATATGTAAGTGACATGGGTTTCTTTTCATTGACAAATGATTTGAGATACCATATTTCCCGAGAAATTCATTCTCTGCGAATATGTTTTCCAGTTTAATTTCTTGACTGATTTTAAAAATTTTTTAGACTTACGTTTATGTGAAAAACACTGTTAATTACTAAAATCTCTCTTTTCATTTTCTTTTTTTCTTCTTTTGTTTTTAGAATTCTTCAAAGAACTACTAGAGAATGCAGAGAAATCCCTGAATGATATGTTTGTGAAGACATATGGCCGCTTATACATGCAAAATTCAGAGCTGTTTAAAGATCTCTTCGTAGAGTTGAAGCGCTACTACGTGGTAGGAAACGTAAACCTGGAAGAGATGCTTAATGACTTCTGGGCTCGCCTCCTGGAGCGGATGTTCCGCCTGGTGAACTCCCAGTACCACTTTACAGATGAGTATCTGGAATGCGTGAGCAAGTATACCGAGCAGCTGAAGCCTTTCGGAGATGTCCCTCGGAAACTGAAGCTGCAGGTTACTCGCGCCTTCGTAGCAGCCCGTACTTTTGCTCAAGGCTTGGCAGTTGCAAGAGATGTAGTGAGCAAAGTCTCTGTGGTAAGTGCTGTTTGCATTCTCTGTTTTTGTTTGTTTCATTTTAAAAGAAAGTTGGGGGGAAAAATAAATCATTAGACTCTGTTGGTGACTCAATAACAATTTTTTTTTCTCTTCTCTCAGACTTAGTCCTTAGTTAGACATGTACCTTTTAGAGTTACTAAACCTCACTCTGGCAGACATCTTCATATATTACTGTTGTTTGCTTTGGTTTCCGTGTAGTCATTCTCAGAAGTGGGATGTAGGTTCCCTCTGGAATCGTGTGTTTAAAAATGAGTTAAATAACCTCCATGATGCTCCTTTTAGCTTTTATTCATTCTAATCCCCCCGCCCGGTGGCACTGAGGGTGGAACCCAAGGAGCACCGAGCTACATCCCCAGCCTTTAAAATTTTTTTTTTCTGACCTTTGAAACAGTGTCTCACTAAGTTGTCCAAACTGGACTGCCTCCTGCCTCCCTCTCCGGAGTAGGTGGGATTATAGGCCTGCCCCACTGCAAGGTGCTCTACTTCCCTTCATGCAAAAGAAACATATGCATGCAGCTTCCACATTTGGTGGTTTTGAGTGACTGTGTTTGAGCCTACCAATTACAGTCTAGGAAGTCATTTCACACCTGTGAGCGTGTTTCCTTACTATAAGGTGTGCTTGGAGCCATTTAGAAGATAGAGCTTTCCCTGACTATTAATATGGACCACACTGCTCAGAAGCATGACTTTGTTTTATAGGATTACCAGTTCAGAAAATACAATTGTAAACATAGGAACAGGAGCTGACAAAGTAAACCCCAGTTTCTTCACTTGTAAATTAAGGGAATTGAAGTAGATCAGTATTTTTCTGACCATGTTCCTTGGAGCCAGCTTAGAAGGTATTTCATTGGTCTCAGTGAGCAGGGACAAGGAAGAAAGGGGGCTTTGTCTCCCAGTGGGTGAAACTGAACATCTATGTGTGCTTTACCTCTTGGTTCCACCAGAGAAGCTTTGCATTCTTTGGCTTCATGCAGTAGGCTTTCAAAAGGGAAAATGCCCCTTCCCACTATGTTCCACATAATGATGTTTGAAAACTTGGTGTGTGTGTGTGTGTGGGGGGGGTGTTCTGGAGATGGAACCCACAGCCTCATCATGCTAAGCAAGTGCTTCTACCACTGAGCTATAGCCCAAGCCCTCTGAAAATGGTGAAGGCCCTTCTACCAGTACCCTTCCATGACCCAGTACCAGGGAAGACACAGATATACAGGGGCAAAGCTGTCTTTACAAAACTGGTCCTAGTGCTCCTACCACTAGGCCCTCAGAGGAAAAGCCGAATTGTAGGCCATTGCTAAAAAGCCTAGGTACACAAGGATAGCAGCTTCTGCTAAGGCCATTTGGTTGTTTTGAGGCCTAGAGGAATAAGCAACATAAAAACTGAACAGCACTACAAACATTAAAAGAGCCATATGACTGCCTGTCACAGAGTTCATCTACAACGAGGGTGACCGTGTAATTTATTGTCCAAACTGCGGCACTTACTGTCTAAACCAGATGGTGCTTATTAACAGTGCTACCCAGACAACAGGTGTTACTAATTGTTAATAAGCAACCAGGACTGCCCAGGATGTGTGGTCACCTTCATAAGAGAGGAAACTTCTATTTATTTCACAGAGTGAAGAAAAAGATTCTAAAGATTAATAAAGTGAAAAATAGGTACCTCCATGGGTTTTCATATTCGAATTGGTTGATGATAAGATTCGGTGATTTGTCACTTTCATTACAGTATTGTTGGCTTGCACATTCTTCCTCATCTCCAGGCCGTAAACTGTCAGGAAACAATTTCTTCTAGTACATTTTTTTTTTTTTTTGGTTTTTCTCCGGTACCGGGAACCGAACTCACGACCTTGCGCTTGCCAGGCAGGCGCTTTGCCGCTGAGCTAAATCCCCAGCCCCCTAGTACATTTTTGTTTACCCACTCTTTTTTCTTTTTCTTTTTTTATTATAAATTGTAAATATTTGTTGGGGCATATGAGGCTGGGGTGGGAATAAGTGAGATGATTGTTAAAAAATAATCTGATACTGGCACTTCTGCCAACCCCATCAACCACTATTAATGTTGGAAAACCTTGTGTCAGAGGCTCGAAAACAGTGCACAGTCGATCCATATCACATTTTGTATTGTAGTTCACCTCACATGTTTGCCCTCCTTCAGCAATTCCTTGTGTTCATCCCCAGTTGAAGGTAGGTGCTGCGGTGTGGCCTGTGTGTCTATGTATACGTGTACACAGGTGTGTACACTCTTGCCAAAGAAAAGGCAGAGTAGAAAGCAAGTGTTTGAGAAGTGGTTTCTTTATATTAAACTTTCCTCTCTTTGAATTCCAGTTTAAATTTCAGGAAGGAGGAAAGTTACTTTCTGAGTATTACCCTTAAGATTGATCCTAACTTAAAAAAAGATCGCTCCTTATTCTATTGCTTACTGTATTCTCATATGTGCCTAAGAGAGATTTGTATAGGTTTTATGGGACTAGAGTGAATGCAAGCAGTGTGGCTTAATTTATGTAGGGTAATGTTTACTTGCCAATTTTTCAGTTGAAAATAATGTTTTATGGCTATTTGAAGTATTATATTGTAATTGCAAACTTGAAAAAATACTGTTTTGGCTTCACTATGGAGCTTCTTCTAGACTTAAGGACTGACTTGCATTCAAACCCTTCAACTAAGTCAGGTTAGATTATCTAAATTACATAATAATAAGACACACAGGCATCACATAAAGTTTCTGAAGGCATTGGCTCAGAATCTAACACAGTCTTCCATCTGTGGAATGTTTCTGTATAGTAGTATGCTAGGAGTATTTGCAGACTTGAGAAGATATTTATTACATTGAGTTTTGGAGCATCATTACAGGTAAACAAAATTTGAGGTATAGTGGTATGGACAAGACAGTAATTGACCTGACTTCCCAAAACATACTTCAAATTGAGCAATTTGAAAAATCTATTTGATTAATTAATAATTATAATTAAGTTTAAGTACCTAAGCTATTTTTTTCATATATAGGGGTTCTCATCCCTCTTTCCTAATCCCAAAGCCAAGTATAGTTTCCAGGTGAAACTAGAACAACCCAAGAAATGAACAGACCTTTTGCTACCCAATAAAATTAATTGCCCCTGACTGGAAAAAAGATTCCTCAGAGTAGGGAATATATTTCCTAATTATAGAGACCCACTTACCTCTAAGAAGACCTTTATAGTCAAATATGATAAGCATCCTGGACTTGGGGCTTATGAATTGCATATATAACTTAGAGGTAGTCCAACTTGGTCTCCATGGGAGTATGCCCTGCTCTTCCAGTTTACTTTTACAACAAGAGAGTTGCAGTTTTAAGCTGAACAATGGTTTGGTTACCACTACGCCTTTGAAAGGCTATTAGTACCAGCAAGCCTAACTTACTGGAAGAGAAAGGCACTGCTTAGCTGAAGTAGACTTGCCTTGATTCCATTTTTCTGGGCTCAGATATCCTGTGATTATAGTTCACTCCATTGAGCTTTACAATGCAAACTTGAGAAAAGTCCGCTTAATTAGTAACAGATGGTTCAAGAATACCCTGGTGCTGCACATCTTTGGATTACTTATTCTATCTTTATTTCTCATGGTTCATGATACATTTCTTCTTTACCTGCTTCTAGCAGCAGTTTTGCCTGGAAGGGTGAAGTCTGTTGTGGTCTTTCAGAAACGCACTAGTGGTTACATGTGCCATGAAAATGAATAGTTCCTATGCCAAAGACAGTTGCACTCTCATGGTTTCAATTAACACTGACATAATGGGACTGTGTCTACACCCCTACCCCAAATAAGGGGCTTAATTAGAAATTGGTGCCTTGCTGTTGAGATGTCTAAATGACTGTCCTGCGTTAGAACCAGTTTCCATTTTCTCCCTCCATTTTTATTTACAGTGTCCCAAGCCCTATAAAAATACGAAAGTGTTTCCATTTCCCAAAGTCATTTCATATGTGTATGTATTCATACTCATTTGTGCATGCTGGGCAAGTGCCTTGCCACTGAGCTATACCCCACTCCCATTTATTGTTTTTAAACAGGTTCTTGCTAATAATTTGGCCAGGTTGGTCTTGAACTTGAAATCCTCCTGCCTCAGTCTTGAGTACCTGGGAATACATGTAAATGTAATTTTGAAAAAACTATCAATATGAAAAGCTTTTAAGAACCCAACTGCAGACCTTAATTCAGCCCTTAATATTATTTTCATTCATAATCTTCAGGACTAGAATTGGGAAAAGGAAGGTAAGACTCAAGCTGTGGCTGGGATAGGGAGAGCCAGTGTGCAGGAGGTGTGAGGGCTGAAGAAATGGAGATCCCATAAGCTCAGAACAGAAATAGAGCCCACCTCAAGGGGGTTAATGAGTGATGCTGAAACTTAAAGGTTACGACTGAGTCTAAGCATGCTAGACAAAAACAGCACACTCTTAAGTATTTAAGCAGCTTGAGTTCTATTTACAACATATCCGCAAATATTCCCGAATGAATCCTAGTTTATCCCATGCATTTTGTTATATTCTTAAAATTCTGTTATCAGATAAAAAGTTAGGAACTTCTCATCCTCATTTCTTTGTGTGTGCACTGAATTCAAAGCTAATTAGGAAATTGCTGAGTAAACTCATCACATCCCACGGCAAGTGTGGGTTCCCTATCTCATTGCCTTACCATAATTTGGGAAATATTTCCTGTTATTTTTATTGGGTTCTTCTGTTACCAAGCAACAGATAAAATCTAGACCATTTCTGTTTGTTTGGTACTATTGACTGTGCAAAAAATAAAATGCTGCAACAAATGTATGTGAGGAGCTGGAATAAACTAAAAGGAAATGTGTTTCTAACTTCAATCCAGCATGGTAACTGCCATCACTGTGTAATGTGGCTTAAGGCTCGTTCTGAATTACTGAAATGAAATCCAGCCTGTGTGAAGAGTTCTGCTCCAGCATGTTTCTTCTTTGCAGGCTGCTTGCAGTAGTTTTTAATGTG